AAAATGTGTTACAATCGTCTGACTCAGTTTATTGTTTGATTAATTTATGCAAATGGTCAGAGGCCTACCGTATTGAACAATAAATTTTCAGTAATTAGAAGGATTTTGATTAAAAGACTAAAACAATAATAAGTAATGCTGATGGTAATGACGATACTGCTACTGCCTTTGTGGAAGCCGCCTGGTGCCATTATCATAATTTTTCATCAAAGTCCTTCTCCGGGCCCCTTCTATTTTAAATTCCTGGATCCGCCACTGACTGCTGTAGTTACCACAATTACAATAACAACACCACAATTATATTGAAATATAAAATTAAACATATCATGATAACCAGTGGCGGCACTGCAGAGGGGCTAAGTGAGAGTAGAGTTCCCCGTCGGGAAGGCATGAGGTCTGGTTCCACCCCCAATCCCAGTTGGGGACGAAGAGAGTTTCGCCGGAGTAAAAATAAAGAACATTTTAAGAAGTTTATGTAAAATGTAAATGAATTTAATATAGCCCTATCACAGTAAAATAATTAATAAAATCATTCTCAACGGCCATGAACATCATTCTTAATACCGTACTGTATCCCAGCAGAGGACCCACATCCACTCACATTCGAATTTTTTTTTTGGAATTAGTAGACTGCTGGACGATCTTAGGTGGCCGCCCTGAAAAAAAATTAGGCATCAAATAGAAAGAGTACACGAAGAGCAGACACGCAAGACGAGTGACCATAATTTTTTTCCCACAGTAAACGAAGGGGGTGGGTAGCCACCCTATTAATCCCCTCCCCCCTCACCACCACCCTCCAGATCCGCCACTGATTAACAGACCAGTGCTGGAAAGCACATCTGAGCATCTAGAAAAACAAATAATAATCAGTGCACAAAAAAAGAGAAAGGAGACAAATAAACCAGAACATTATCTGCCACAACATTTAGTCTGCTTTATCAAGGCCTTCGCCCTGCACCCCTGAATACAGAACATTTCTGTATCCACTCGCCCCAACCATGACTACTGGGTTAGTTTACCCAGGGTTGTCCACCACCTACAATAACTTAACCTGACGTTGAAATACTGTAGAGGGCAGCAACCATAAAAGTGGTCGATCACATCTAGATGTGTATAAGAGACAAGTCAATTTACCTTCGCGAAAATGGTATCGCCCAGGCTATTCTTTTGCATTAACGATTTTGCAATGTCTGGCTGCTTTTTGCAAAGCGTGGCTGACCTCGCCTCGCTGCCGGTCTGCAGCAGGATGCGATTGGCACAGAACAGAGAATTGCCTTGGTCAAAATATTACAAAGACACAATAGGTTCTAGGATATTGCTGTTAATTTTACGTTCATTGGGATATTATATATAATACACACATTATTATACAGAATAATGTATGAGCTTATACCGGCTGAATCATTTCTAAAACTTTAAAATATGGAGTAGAAAAAATATCTTGTTTGTACATGACGAAAATAGGTCTTATCTGTTTTATCGAACGTATGGGAAAATCCAACGTCTGCTGTTAAGCCCAAATAAGCACCGTATGTTTATTACAAAGAGTTTACCCGCATACATTATGACGTCTAATTTCCATAGAGTGCATAGGATACAAATGTCGGTTTGTAGGCCCAACTGGTGTTTTTGTTCCAACATGTTCACCGACTCCTCAAAATGTAGGCCCTTCCTTACCCATATTTAGAAATGTAAATATCCGGTTTTTTGTTGTATAAAGTCGTGAGAACCTCTTTTCTGATAACTTATTTTGAGTTTGTTGGATAGCCATAACTGTTAAATATATTTCTATTGAAATTTAATAATTTATAATTTTGACCCATAACTAAAGAAAGCTGAAAAGGCAGAAAGAGTGTGTGACGAAAACTGCCGCTGCCGTCAAATGTTGGCTTACTGTGCGGTCATTGTTTGCGATGTTGTTTTATAAACGAGTTTTCTTTCTGAGCCTTTGAATGGGTATATTCTTATCGTAGCTACAATCTCGTACAAAGCATCTGTTTGTAAAAAATAAAAATAAAATTATTTTATTACATATCAAATATAAACCAGTTATCAATTTGTGTTACAATATATTGTCATAAATAAGTACCTGACAATATATTGTAGATTTTTTTTAATAATTTAATTTATATAATTTAAATTCAATTTATTTAATTCTATTTTTATTTTTTGGTTTTACATTGAATTATTAAGAGTTAGGCCTATAATGTATATAAGAGTAACTTATATTATATACTTTTTATACTTTTTAAATTTTATTTATCCATTTTGAAGTTAAAAAGTAACATTCTAGTATAAAACCACAGTGTTTCCTAAATGAAACAGAGCTCAAAATAATTCTCCATGAACAGAGTAATAAATTTAGAAAAATATAAACAATAAAAATTATTATAATAACATATATACATTATAATTAGATGTGTATAAG